CTTCTCACTCTTTTTTCCTTCTTCGCCCCTTCCCTCCAGTCTGCTGGGTTTTCCCCAATAAACCCTTTCCCTTACACCAGTGTTTGGTGTGTTTTGTGATGACCTTACACTAATCCATTCATGAAAACAAGCCCTAAAGACCTAAATATGTCCCCCAAAGGCCCCACTTCCCAAAAATTATTTGAGAATTAAGCCTCCTACACATGAATTTGGGGTGACACATTGAAACCCAGTGCTTCAATTGATATTACTTAGTTCCTATGATGCCAGGTATTCCTGAGAATAAAGCAATGAACAAGACAGACAGGCATCTCTGACTTTAGAAAGATGTAGGAGAAGAAAAACATTAAAATTTACACTCTGTCAGCAGGTGGTAAGTGCATGGAGAAAAGAGTGAAAAGGAGAATTTTGATGGAGTTAGTATTTTAAATAGGGTTGTCATAAGATGACACTTAGGGAAAGCCAACTGGATGGCAAAAAGGGCCAAGGGGCTCCCTGGGGCTCTCTGGGGGAAGGAACATCATTTAGGGAACAGCAGAAGCAAAGGCCTGTGGACTCTGAGTGAAGGTTTATCTCTACAAAACATATAAAAGTCAAATTAAGTTATAGAAGGCTTATGATGGCTGCTGTGAGAATCAGCAGTGGGTACAGGGACCATTTAGGAAGCCTACTACGATACCATGGGAGAGAGATTATGGAAACTGTTGCTATGGAAGTTGAAGGTGATAAAAAGGTCAGCTTTTGGAGATGCATTTTTGAGGGTACAACTGACAGGATTTGTGAATGAACAGAATGTGTGATAGAGAGAAAGAGGGTCAAATATGTGGCTTTGATTTTGGCTCAGGAAACTGGAAGGATGGAGTAGCCATTTTCCAAACTGGTGAAGAATGTGGTGGGGTCAGTTCAGTGGTGAGTATGTTGTGTTTGAGTTGCCTATTAGACATTCAAGGGAAAATGAGGAATGGCTGCTAGAAATGGGATTCTATGGTTGAGAGAAGTCTAGGCTGGAGATATGAATGTGGCATTCGTCAGCATGTAGCTGTTAGTGAAAGCCACAAGATTTCATGCTAGGGTGTATTTACTGAAGTGCTGATTCATAGGCACTCTGCCTCCATAGGTTATGGACATGTGTGAAACAAAGCCATGGGACAAACAGTGGACATGGTTCAGACAGTTGTAAACTGGAGTTCAGAAATCTTGACCAAAAAATCAGAAGCAACTGATTTCTGCCACGCAAAGCACACAGGTTGGCCCAGTGGCCTCAAATCCCTCAGTTTTCAGTCCACTAGTTGGCAACCTCTGCCCTACAGGCTGGCATCTGAAAATTTGTTTTTGGATTTTTTCCTCAACCCTATTGTATATTGGTCAGTTTCCCCTCTGTTTGTAAGCGGCTCAGGTTTTTCACAGTACCATGTATTTGCTGGTGAGGGTCTGTGTCCTCCTTTTACCCCTAAATCTGGACTTTATTTTGCAGAGTCCTTGCTGGAACTGGCAACTACCTTCTCACGTGAGCCAATTGTAGATTTTCAGGAATTTTTCAACCTGGGTAACAAACAAAACCATTAAAAATAAAATATTCAGGCTTACAATTGCCTAAATATTTTAAAACAAGGGCATACTCAAAACTCATCACTTACTGTTTTATTGCATTGTATTAGTATGTGTTCTCCTTTTTTTTTTTTTTTTACTTCAGTTGTATCTTTAATTGGGAAATAGTACATTATGGTGTCTCTCTTACAAACTGTGCTTTCAAGGATTTCATGTTGATAGCTTGAAATGAGCCATGTGGGAGTATGTACACCACAGAAATTGTCAAACAAAACAAATCAGGCCTATTTTCCTTGGAAAGCCAGTTTTAAATCTTTACCAGCGTTCCACTGTGAAAATATCATCTTGGGACAGCATAACAGCTGGCTGATGGTAACTAGAAGTGACAATGTAGAGAGGCTTATGAAGATTAGTTTAGACCCACTATTCCCTAATTCCTGATAGAATATTTATATGGTGATAAAATTTCTAATAAATGCTGATATTGCTGTGTGCATCTTCAGAGAAGACTTTAAAGCAGACAAGCCTACAATCTATATCTATTGCTTTTCCGTAAGCAATAGTAAGAATAGACTGGATATTCTACATAAGGATCATGTATTAAGGATTTCCCTGGAAAAGAGTTTCACAATTTGACTCAGTTTCCAACTCCCACCATTGATAAATACTAATATGAAAAAGCAACTGAAGAGGCGGCACAGCATTTGGGCTGCCACTTGCAAGGCCAACACTCCTTATCAGAGTTATGTTTCAAGTTCCAACTGCTCAGCTTCTGATCCACTTTCCCACTAATATGTCTGAGAAAGTAGCAGATGACAGTTCAAGCACTTTTGTCCCTGCCACCCAAGTGGGAAACCCAGATGGAGTTCCTGGCTCCTGGTTTTGGCCTGCCCCAGCACTGGCCATTGTGGCCATTTGGGGAGTTGGCCAGCAGATGGGGAATCTCTTCCTCTCTGTCTCTCCTCCTATCTGTGTCACTCTGCTTTTCCAAATAAATAAATCTTTAAAAAATGCAACTGAAGTGAGTCCATGGTTTTTCCCAGAGTTAAAGGAATATATAAAAATGAATGATGTGTAAATAAGACAGAAAGGAAATGACTTTTTAGGGAGTAAAACACATACATTCCAGTTTTTAGGATTCTGTGCCTTTGTGATAAATAAGTGAGATAGCTTTCAGGTAGGTAAAGCAAATAAGGCTCACTTTCCCCTTCTAGGTTTCCTGAAGCTAACCTTTTTCCTTCTTTTTTGCATATCTCCTCCACAAATAGAGCTGGCAAAAAGTATCTGTTACGATGACCCAGGCTTTACCATTCATGGCAAATCTCTCTAAATTACAGGCTTTTCCTCGTAGAGACCATTTACAGTGGGCATAATACAAGGCTGTGTTCAACCATGCCACTCTTTGAACTAGCTGTACTATGTTATTACCACACTAAACTGGAGTGGCCAGTTTTTCTATAAATAAATCTCCTCCTTGCTGGGTAGATGAAAATCCTTAGTAGCAGTTCCTGCGTTATTGATTTTCTGGTTTCTAGCTTCTCTTCTGGGAATATTTTTTGAGTTGTTTTGAAAAGAGAAGTCTTGTAAACACTTGACTGTTGCCAGACTCAAGAAAAATCCGATTAGTTGGCAATCAATAACATTATTACTCAGCTGGGCTCCCTGTAATTCTTCTATCTCCAGGCCAGGTGGGTGGATGTGGTGAGGAGCTTTCAAAGAGATGGTATGTTCTTTCTAGATTCCATTTGTTTCTTTACAACGGTCCTTTAATTTGTGTTGGGTTGGAAACGGAGCTAATAACCGCAGTTTGAACACAATTGGCTTCCTCTCTGTGAGGGAAGAACAAAGCAGAGATTATCAGCTTTGATGAAGGCGGCTAGGAGTTTAATCAACCACTCTGTGAGGCTCCCTATCAACCACAGAAAATAAAGTCCAGGAACTCACTAGGAATGGTGTAGTTTTTCATACAGCATCACAAAGTCCACACACATAATATATCTTCAGGGTGGTAGTTTTGTTGTGGTTGCTGTTTGTCTTGTTTTCTTTTCCTATGAAACATTGTAAAGAGATGGGTTTGAGGTATTAAAATGTAGGGCGTCTTGTTAAAATCCTCAGATACCCACTGATTTCCTTCATGACCATCTCTGGTCTTCGCCATTAAATCCTCTGGCCCTGGGGACAACTGGACAGAGAAGTCCTGGTCAGAAACCTGTCCTCTGAGTCAAATCAACTGTGTGGATCACAACTGAGTGCTTATCTTCTGCACCCATTCTGATACTGGTTTCTTAAGTACTGGATCACATCTGTACCACAATTTTAATAATTGAATTCTTTTTCTTAAAGATTTATTTATTACTTGAAAGTCAGAGTTACATAGAGAGAAGGAGAGGCAGAGAGAAAGAGAGAGGTCTTCCATCTGATGGTTCACTCCCCAGTTGGTCACAACAGCCGGTGCCGCGCCAATCCGAAGCCTGGAGCCAGGAGCTTCTTTGGGGTCTCCCATATGGGTGCAGGGGCCCAAGGACTTGGGCCATCTTCTACTGCCTTCCCAGACCATAGCAGAGAGCTGGATCGGAATTGGAGCAGTCAGGATCTCAAACTGGCACCCATATGGGATGCCGGCGCTTCAGGCCAGGACACTAACCCATTGCACCACAGTGCTGGCATTAGTTGAATTCTTAACCTGTCCATTCCTTCCTTAGGGATTGGCCAAATATACTACTCTAAGCCATATTTTCGATGATTTAGTTTCTGGTGTCTCATGATAACCTCTATTCTTGGTAGAGTCTACATGCTTACTGTGTAGCATATGGTCACTGATGACCATGTACCTTGACATTCACTCAACTGTTTGTCCTCTTACCCACTATAGCCTTATTCTATTACTGGCTACACATTCAAATCATGCAAGAGATTTCAAGAATCCTGTGCCTAAATTCAGAGTTAGGTGGTCTTATGTGATACATATTTTTCCCTTAATTAAAAGTTTTTGTCATGGACTGAACTGTGTCCCCCTAAAATTCGCATGCTGAAGTCCTAACCCCTAGTACCTCAGTCAGGTGCTTGTATCTAGAGATAGTGTCTTTAAAGAGATAACTAAATTAAAATGAGGTGATCAGGGTTGGCCCTAATCCAATATAACTGGTGTCCTTACTAGAAGAAACCAGGACACAGAGACAGACACACAGTAGAAAGTCCATGTGAAGGCACAGTGAGAGGACAGATCTGTAAGTCAGTGATCAAGTTCTCAAAAGAAATCAGTCCTAGCATTTTGATTTCATGCTCCAATCCAAAGCCAGGAGCCTGGGGTTTCTTCCCGGTCTCCCACGTGGGTGCAGGGGCCAAAGCACTTAGACCATCTTCTACTGCTTTCCCAGGCCATAGCAGAGAGCTGGATTGGAAGAGGAACAGCCAGGACTAGAACCGGCACCCATAGAGGATGCCTGCTCTGCACGTTGGGGCTTTAACCTGCTGCGTCACAGCGCCAGCCTGGAGTTTCTGATTCAGGGTATCCTGAGATGGAGACTGTGAGCTGAAATTTTGCATTTCTATCAAGTTCCCAGGTGATACTGATGCAACAATTTCCAGAACCATGCTGCAAACCACTACATGCCAGTTTACTATGCATTGTTGCTGGTCTTTGAGTCTCCAGCTTCCTCTCACAGCTCCCAACCACTTTATGAAAGAGCCTCAGCACCTAGGACATCCTTTGTCCTTGCCTTGGTTCTCCTGGGGATGACCTTGATTCATACATCTCCTTCTTCAGTAAGATGAAAATTTTAAGGGAAAAAGGCATGTCTGGGGAGTTACAATATCAATAAATCTGTAAGTGTGTTTGTGAATTTATGTCTCATTCCACAAAATGCCTGAGACAACTACTGCACCTTGGGAGAACTGGGCCACTTCATATATGAAGATCTGCATAAAGGTTCCAATTTTAATACATTAAATATATTCTATAAATTTCAGTGGGATCAATATTTACTGGCCTTTAAAAATAGGTTTTCTCTCATTTGTTAGCATTTGCTTTGAGGAGTCCATAGCGATGATGCCATTTCACATTTCCAAGTACTTTGCAGTCAGCCAAGGAGAGGGTTTGTATCCCACCCCTGCACATGTAGTTTCCTCCAGTGAGGCTAATCATACTGGAACTTTAAATCCATTCTTCCTGACATTCATCTCCTTGACTCAGAATGAGCTGATGTATAAGAACTTGACTATAGGAAGCTCCTGCCCAGTTCTTGTTCTTAAAGGTGCCTCTGAAGTTCAAATTTACCAACTCCCTCTTTGAAGCACCCTCAAGAGGAGCCTTTGTTTTATCCAGTCTACCACAGTCCGTATATTTGTTTTCAGTCATCTTTATGCACCCAACGAACAGGATAGTGCAAAGGCTGGATTAAGTAAGCAGTAAGTGATTGTTTAATTAAGTAGAAAATGTACCCAACACAGAATATCTTTTTTCTTACCCTTATGCCTCTGTCTCTGCTCTTCCTTCTCCTGGGCAGGCTGCATGACCCTATTCTTGACTTAACCTGGGCTTTGAGATTCAGTTCAAAGACGTCTTCCGAACTGAGCTGAAGCCCTAGTGTAGTTCATAAATGTGCTCTTTCTCCCTTTTGCTTTGAAATGCAGTGGCTATTGATTCAGTAATCCTATCAATAACAGTCAACCTTTAGAGAGCCCTGTGCAAAGTGCATCCACTTGGGTAATCTCATTTAATTTTCACAAGAGTCACCTTGGTAGAGGGAGTTTTTACACATTGCATTTTTGATCCCTATCTGAGACCAGTCAAATCAGAACATTGGAATGAGTCCAGGGATAATTCACATTTTGTAAGTCACCTGTGGTTTTAATCTGCAGCCAGGATTGAGAATTACTGAGTCCAGGGTCTTTATCTGTGGCACAAAACATAAGCCTTCTTTTGATGGAATGAGCTCTCACAAATTGCAAGAGATTTAAAAATAGTTCTGCAAGTTCTAGTCTTGTTCTCCCTTCCCTTCTGATGTACTCCTTTTCAGTTTTCAGCTCTTCAAACACTTCGGGATCTGGTTCCTCCACCTGGTTTCTAGACCAAAACACTTTCTGTACTCTCTGTTCTTCTTGTTTGCTTCGCCCATTTCCACCTTGCTTCACAAAACAGGCATAAAAATTATTTGTAAACCAGTTCTTGGAAAGTCTCAGTCCATCTCAACACTACTTGTTCAGAGAGAGTAAATTCCTTTAGAGAATGGCTTTGTCATGTCTTTTTCATAATCATTTAATAAATGTGAGCATATTATTTGCTCAGTCATGAGGCTTGGGACACAGATGATTCAGGGATTTGTAAATAGAGTTAAAGATCTTAGACTTTCTTTATGGGTTTCTATATTGTAGAGTTACATATTCAGGAAAGAGCTTGCAAAAGATAACAGGAGCTATAATTGAATTCAAGGAAACTAAGACTTAGCAGATTATTGGAGATAAAGATTGGAGTTGTGGAACAACAGATGGGAAAATATGTTAGAAGTAGTGCCTATAAGGCAGCTTAAGATGTACAATACCCCATTTTCCTATGTTGTTGTACTTGCCTAGGAAGGGATTAGATGACAATCTGCAAAAGACTTCTGTGTTTTAAAATGCGTTGTAAAATAAAAGCATTTTTACATTTTTCTAGATAGCACAATTTAATCACTTCTTAACCTTGTTTTCCTTTTTAAATTAAACACAAGCTTCACCCTTAATGAATGGAAGTGGAGTTTGTATTTCATTACCTTTAGTTCTGCACTTCCATTCTTTAAGAGTTTTTTTTCTCTTCTTAACCACCATTGGTTTCTGATGTAAGTGCTCAGCAGACACAAAATGTTTTACAACCAGTAACGGGTTTGAAATGAAATGGAAGCAAGAATAAAACAATTAAGCTTGAAATAAATTCTACCTTTTCCATTGCTCTGTTTCTTTGTGTTTATTTCGACATGCGTTCAGAATCATTTAAGTTCTTAAAAAGTTATAAAAATCTATTGATAACTGAAGGTTATAATGTAGTGGAACTTCAACAGGGGCTTCAAACTTTTTATGCTTAGATTACTGCACAGGGTCCGCAAAACTCTGCAGCATTCAAGACCTTTTCCAATTAAGTCTTAGAGGCGCCCACATAGAGATCAGTGCAAGCCTCTGATAGGGTGGCCATATGTTATAGTATCCCTAACCAATCCTAATTTATGCCTTTTGTTTTAGCGTGATTTCAATCTTACTCCTTCGTTTTTGAAGGTGTCCTGATTTAGACTGTGAATTATTGATCATCCTGGTTGTGAAAGAGAAACTGCTTCTGTTGAACATGGACCAGTGTTTTCCAAAACAGGTCATTTCCCTTTCTTTTCCTCTGTGACTTTCTGAGTAGCACAGTTCTGTGAGTGGTGACAATATGTGTCAGTGAGCTGGGGTTGGGAAGGCCAAGGAAAGGAAGCCAGAGTCTCAGGACAGGATTTCTCAAACATGCATTACTGATGTTGGGGACTGCAGGAGCAGCAAATGAAGTTTAATATGAATACCAGTGAATCTGTGCAAAGGCATTGATGAAAAATAGAACAATTACTTTTTTTTTTTTTTTTTGACAGGCAGAGTGGACAGTGAGAGAGAGAGACAGAGAGAAAGGTCTTCCTTTGCCGTTGGTTCACCCTCCAATGGCCGCCGCGGCCGGCGCACCGTGCTGATCTGATGGCAGGAGCCAGGAGCCAGGTGCTTTTCCTGGTCTCCCATGGGGTGCAGGGCCCAAGCACCTGGGCCATCCTCCACTGCACTCCCTGGCCACAGCAGAGAGCTGGCCTGGAAGAGGGGCAACCGGAACAGAATCCGGCGCCCCAACCGGGACTAGAACCCCGTGTGCCGGCGCCGCTAGGCTGAGGATTAGCCTAGTGAGCCGCGGCGCCGGCCGAACAATTACTTTTAACATTTACTGACACACTAAATTAGAAACTGCCTGGGAAAATTCCAGCATATCAGTGCAATGATAAAAGATATAGTCATCAAGAGGTCAACGGCATGTGTGAAGACAAGTCCAGGAGGCTGGGAAGCCAAGTTGGATGGTCTCTAGGCCAGCAGAAGCCTAGTGAGAGAGAGCAAGGAAGACTGCCTCAGTGTGGCTGGGCTGACTCTCACTCACAGGGTTCCTCTGGAGCTCATGAATACATCGATCTTGAACAAATTGATTAACTTCTCTGTGCCTTGCTTTTCCAAACTGGGAAATGAGAAGAATAAAGGCCTTTTATTTTGTCACTAATGAATGTATTGCTTTATTTTAGAGATCTTATTTGGGAATTTTTTTTTTTTTGTCAGAAGCTTCAAAAAGAGAAGCAGCAAATTTATGTTCTTGTCTTGCATTTTCTTAGGTCAGGCTTCTCCTAGTTAGAGTGAACTTATTACTGCTTTTACAAAAACAAACTCTAACATTGTGTTGATCATTTTTGCCTTAAAAGCTACAATTTTCATTTAGATGACATATTTACACCCCTACAAGCTAAATGAAATTGATTATGTTTGTGCCTTCACTAATTCACCTGTAACAGAAAAAAGAATCTTATTGGATTCTGAAAGTAGAAGCCTAAATTCATTTTCAGTTACATAAATACAGAAAACATTTGAGGAACTAGCTAGTCTCAAATCCCAGTAGTCAGCAGAATAAACAAAATTTTATTTTAAAAAGGCAAGCATAATAGTTCTCTGATATCAGTCTGATATTGCGTGTCATACTCCAAAGCTAAAGACTTTTAAAAATGCAAAGTGAGTAAATATTCTTTTTTTTTTTTTTTTTTTGACAGGCAGAGTGGACAGTGAGAGAGAGAGATAGAGAGAAAGGTCTTCCTTTGCCGTTGGTTCACCCTCCAATGGCCGCCGCGGTTGGTGCGCTGCAGCTGGCGCACCGCACTGATCCGATGGCAGGAGCCAGGTACTTATCCTGGTTTCCCATGGGGTGCAGGGCCCAAGCACCTGGGCCATCCTCCACTGCACTCCCTGGCCACAGCAGAGAGCTGGCCTAGAAGAGGGACAACTGGGACAGAATCCGGTGCCCCGACCGGGACTAGAACCCGGTGTGCCGGCGCCGCAAGGCGGAGGATTAGCCTAGTGAGCAGTGGCGCCGGCCTAAATATTCTTTTTAACTTCATTTTCTAAGATACTAGATCTTATTCCTCTCACCTACCCATTTCCCCTAATGCTGTGTTTATAGACAAGAGCTTTCCTATACAAACAGGGATTCCAAATCAGTAGCATGGACATAACTTGGGAGCCTGTCATAATCTAAAGTCTCAGACTCATGGTACAGCCATGGCATTAGAATCTGCATTTTAACAAGCTCTCCTGTTGACTTTCATGTACAGTCAAATTTGAGGAGAGCTGGATCAGAGAACTCCTGGCTTGAAACAGAAGAGACAATAAAAAGCAATGTGGTTAAACAGCAAAGTAAGTAGAGAAATCACATGAATTTTCTAAGGGCCCTCTTCTTGCCCTTAGGTACACACTGATAGCCACCTCTGTCTTCCCCTAAGTCTTTCTTGTAGTATCTTTTCCTTTCATATTATGTATGATGATTACCTACAGTTATGTTTAAAACTTTATAATTGCTATTGCTTTGCAAAATTTTAGACTTTCTCTAACATTGCTTCATTCTCAACCATACAATACACTCTATTTATACAGCCTGTATTTGTTTTCTTTTCTCTAAGAATCCTTCCTGATTCACTGAAGTAGACATAATGTGAAGTAGAGGAATGGTTGGCCTGGGAATGTAGTGATTCTGGGAATGCAGCCATGGGCCAGTGCCAACCAGAACTAGATGAATGATACCAGGGGTAGGGTGAGACCCAGAACCATGCTTAGCAAAAGGAGGGGCATATCTTTGTCACAGATAATGCAGAATTTTCTGCAGCATGAACCACAGCTGATTAGAATGTTCATTTTAATTTCCTTTGAGGGATAATACATGTCATACTCTGGGCAGATTGTGATTTCCAGAAGAATGATAAATGGAAGGAGATGCTTAGGGAATTTTTTTCTTTTCTATGACATTTCTACCAGTAAAGCTTCCTTCCAATTAAAATTAATAATATGCTCATCTTAATTGAGGAAGATAGAAGAGTTGAAATAGTATAGTCATAGTGTAAGATAGAACAGATGATTTAGTATCAGATAGACATGGTGGAGTTCCAATCCATGTCTGTCACTTACAAACCATAAACTTGACCAAATTAATTGATCTCCCTGTACCAGAGAGAGAGGTTTATGCCTCTAGATAGTCATACTCTTTGCAAATGTGACTTCACAGTAAAAAATGCTGGTTATTTCCCTATCTCCTGAGTTTGAGCTTGATTTGTGATTTGTTTTATACAACAGAATGAAAAGGAAGTGAATTTTATAACATGTCTGAGCTTAGGCTTCAAGAAGTCTCGTGTTAATCCTGTCCAGATGCTATGAAAGCAAACTGGTATTTTCTGCTATAGATGGAAACATGTGGCCCAGTTACCTCTATCATCCCAGCTGATGACCAGACCATTGCCAGCATAGAATTGCAGCCATCCCAGAACAACTGGGTCCCAGTGATACTCAATCTGATTGCAGATGAACAAGTAAGCTCAGTCATGAATGCATGAGATCAGCTGAACCGCAAAGCTGAATGGGGCTAAACTGCAGAGTCAAACATCAAATTCATGATATTCTGGGGCCAGTGCTGTGGTGCGGTGGGTTAAAGTCCTGGCCTGAAGCGCCGGCATCCCATATGAGCACCGGTTCTAATCCCAGCTGCTCCTCTTCCGATTCAGCTCTCTGCTATGGCCTGGGAAGGCAGTAGAAGATAGCCCAAGTCCTTGGGCCCCTGCACCCATGTGGGAGACCATGAGGAAGCTCCTGCTCCTGGCTTTGGATCTGCGCAGCTCCAGCTGTTGCGGCCATCTGGGGAGTGAACCAGCGGATGGAAGAGCTCTCTCTCTGTCTCTACCTCTCTCTGTAACTCTGTCTTTCAAATAAATAAAATAAATTCTAAAAAAAAAAAAAAAGATATTCTGCAAGACTATTCTGTCAATAACTTACCTGAAAAAGCAAAAATAAATTACAAAACAAAGTGATATAAGGCAATTATTGTTCAGGAATTGAAGAAATAGTTGTGGGTTTGGGACTTGGCAAAATTGTTGAGAAGGCAGAAACTAAAAATGCATTGAGGGATGAATGGGAATTTCATACAAGTAGATAAAGGAGGAGGACATGAGTGATAAGTGCATGGATACACATAGACTTTGGATCCAGGGTTAAAGTAACAGAGTTGGCTTTTATTCTGCAGACAATGGAGAACCATTGAAATGTTAAAATATAGAAATATGGAAGTGATAGTTGACAAAGACAAAATTAGTAGTAGAGTGATTCACAGAATACTCCTGCAGAAAATCTTGAACTTGATGTTTGACTTTACATTTTTATGAGTCAAAAGACCTTTGGCAAGTTCATCAAATTTCAATTTCCTACCCGCTCCAAAGTGAATAATGACAGTATTTTTCTCATCATGGTTTAGTGACAATGACGTGAAATATATAAGTAAAACCCTTAGTGCAGAGCCTGGTCCAGATACATTTATAATAAAAAAAAATCATTATATTGTTGGCAGTAAAGGTTTGAACTAAGTGAAAGGAATGGAAATAAAATCACATGGGAAGAAAATTGCAGAATTGGCAAGACAAGTCTGGATGTTGGAAGCTAAAGAGAAGGTCATAGCAAAGTGGACTCCAGGTTTAGAGCTTGAGAAAGCAGAAAATAGATTTGTGAAAAACAGTGGGGGCAGGATAGAGGCAAGTAATTTTTTCTATTATAGTCACTATTTCTAATAAGATCCTTGAATTCATCCCAGTGTCAGATCAGACATGGAAAGATCACATAAAAATCTTCAAGATTGGAGTGGGTAAGACTGAGGATGAGAGGAATACTCAGCAGTGGATAATAAGGCAGAGAGTTGGGGTCAAGGAGATCCTATCCCAGGCATCTAGGCCATCCCTGTAAGTTGAGGGATGTGGTATCAACAAGAAGCCAACAGAGGATCTGGGTGCAAAAAAGTGTTAGAGAAGTCAAGCAAGGCCAGGAATAGGGACAGGTAGAAGGAAAGTTTTCATGAAAGATGCTTTTGCAGAGGAACTAGAAAGTTGGGAACTCAAGAGAATAAGATAAGAATAAGAATAAAATACCAAAATAAGAATGAGTCATGAAGAGAGTGGTATAAACCTAGAACTGGAATAGAACAGCAGAGCAGGATGAGTAGTTCAGAGGCAAAAGACTTCTCTTCCTTTTTGAAGATTTTATTAAATAATCAGGAAATCTGAAAATATAAAATAAGATACAAGAAAAAATGTTAGACACATATCCACCTTTTACTGAGTCTAAAGTTTACACGACTGATGGAGATTTCTTTAAAGAAAGTAAGACAAGGTAGGTGTTTTGGTGTATCAGGTGAAGCTGCTACTTGGGATGGCTGCATTCATAGTGAAGTAACTGGGATCAAGTCTTGCCTGCCCTTCCTGTACAGCTTCCTGCAAATGTACCTAAGAAGCAGCAGATGATGTCTCAAGTACTTGAATTCATTTCCACCCACATGGGAACCTAGATGGAGTTCTGAGCGCCTGGCTTTGCACTGATTCAACTCCAGCTATTGTGAGCATTTGAGGAGTGAACCAGAAGATGGAAGATCTCATTCTCTGTCTCTGTCTCTCTTTCTCTTCCCCCTCTGTCTTTTGAATAAATAAATAAATCTAAGAAAACACATCATTAATACAAACATATATAAAAGTGGGTATTTCTTGGCTGGCGCCGCAGCTCAATAGGCTAATCCTCTGCCTGCGGCACCGGTACCCCGGGTTCTAGTCCCAGTCAGGGCGCCGGATTCTGTCCTGGTTGCCCCTCTTCCAGGCCAGCTCTCTGCTGTGGCCCGGGAGTGCAGTGGAGGATGGCCCAAGTGCTTGGGCCCTGCACCGGCACGGGAGACCAGGAGAAGCACCTGACTCCTGGCTTCGGATCAGCGCAATGCACCGGCTGCAGTGCGCCGGCCGCGGCAGCCATTGGAGGGTGAACCAATGGCAAAAGGAAGACCTTTCTCTCTGTTTCTCTCTCACTGTCCACTCTGCCTGTCAAAAAAAGAGAAGTGGGTATTTCTTTAGAAATGAAAATAAATAGAAAAATTTAAAAAAAGTTACTGAAAACTTGAAAAAATTCAACAAAATGCAATATTTATTTAGTGGTTTATATTTTCTTTATTCTTAATTACACAGTGGAGGAGAGGTGCAGAGTGTCATGCCCTTTCAACAGTTAGAGGTTCTAACTAAAGAGTGTTCTCTGGCCTGGGTATGGTTATTTGAGAGCCAATTTTGAGGAGCAAAATAAGTGAGTGAGAAAATGGCAGCAAGTGAAGCAGCTCACACATTGCTCCATAGAAAGCTATATATTGGTACCATTAAACAGAATAATTTGGAACTCCAGTGAGATTCAACTTGAATAATGAATTGTTTATGCCTGGAAATCCACCTTACACAGGGTTAGTCATCCCATGTATTTATACTTGCCTGTTGTGCTGGAGTGTCATTTACAATAAAGGCAGGTAGCATGGGCAGGCAAGTAGAGAAAGGAGGAAAAACAAGGTCTATGGTGGAGTCTTTGATGACATGATCTCCCCTCATGTATGTTCTGCATATAGTAGTGAAAACTGAAAGAGCTTTTATAACAAAAATATGCTTATGCATGTTTTGGCACTTTATAATGACAAATAAAGAAGTTTGATGGGGGGTATATGAAGTAGAGTCATATAATCAGATAAGAAAAGATGTCTATCATTTAAACAAAAATTTTTTAAACCTGGGTTACATGAGTAGCATGCATTAATCTGTGTTAAAAGACACACACACACACACATATGCCTACAAAAAAATCTGTTGAACAATATACATCAAACTATTTCTTAGTAGTGGTTGTACCAGAAGAATGGGATTAGTGTGGTGGGATGGGAGAGTTTTTATTCAACTGGTTTCATTTTTACTTTTGTGAAGGAATATCTATTTCACTGAAACACAATTTGAAAATTTGAATTAGAGATAGAGCAGTGAGTGACACTGAGCTGGAGAAACTCCAAAAGTTTTTCTGAACAACATTCAATTATCCTCTGTCTGTGTCTTTGTCCATTTGGGATGCTAAAACAAAATATCATAGACTGGGTGTCTTATAAACAAAAGAAATTTATTTCACACAGTTCCAGAGGCTGAGAAATCCAAGATCAAGGTGCCAGCAGGTGTAGTGTCTGGCAAAGGCCTGCCCCTCCTTCTAATTTTTTTGAAAACATTTTTGCTTATATACATATATACTTCTTCATTTCAAAATTAAGTCATGCTCTTGCTATCATTTTATATGTTTACCTATTCTGAGAATTTTTTCATAATAGGAAGCATTCATAAAAATATATTTAAAAATTATAAAATATTCAATCATATTATTGTATTAAAATACAGCCATCCTCCTATTGCATGAGTCAATATCCTAACACAAGATAAGTGACCTTAGCAACTGGAACCGGTAACATAAGTTAATAAAGGGATGATTTTCAAGTGTGGGGAGCGTGATCACTGACACCAGAACCTAAGAACTATTGTCACCCAGCCTGAAGGTTAACAGTCTCTTTAAAGAGCCATAGCTGTGAGGGAGGGTCTTTAGTATTCCTAGGAAATGCAGCCACTGCCATACCAAGCTTGGCAGAGAGGGAGAAAGGAAACTAGAGCTTTCCAGTCTCCTGATACTGCTTCCTATTGGTCCAACCCAACTAGAAAACAGAGCATAAGGAAATCTGTAGATATGGAGCTCACAGAGGTTAGCCACCCTGGGAAGAGAGCTGAACTCAGAAAGGCAGAGAGTACAACTGGATTGGGAAATACACAGTACATATTTTTTCCTATATTCTCTCCCTACATTTTCACTATTGTATAAATACAATTATTAGTGTTACTATCACACAAAAAACTTAATATCTAAGTCTTCAGCAATATTAGGTTAATATCTTCAATGACTGAATGATAATGAAAAAGTAAATGTTTTGAACATCTGATGAATGGTTAAAATCAGGTCATCTATTTAAGAATTAATTGTGCTTCTTGGAAGAATAACTATGTTCCAAATTTGTATTTATAAAATGCATGAAGTTTGGATACCTTAATAAACAAAATAAAATAAAATAACATGAGACAAGATTTTTTTGTTTCTATCTAGGTATACAATCTGTAATGGCCCAACCAAGTGGTATTTTATATCAGTTAGCTAAACAAGGCACAGTCACAAACCACTGGCCTCAAACTTGTTTGTTTCTGCTGTTTATAGGAAAAAAAAAAAAAAGAGGCAGAAAACAAAACCTCCAGGAGGACAAAAGAAAGAACTGAGATTTTTGCGTTTATCTTCATATGTTGTTGTTTTTCTTGAAATGAACTCAGCTTGTAGCATGAAAGGAAGCTAAACTATAGGAGAAACATTTAATTTTCACAGCATAAGACTTTAAAGCATTGTTGGATTTGGTGACACTGATAACTTAGAAACCAAGCTCAGCTTTATCTACACATACTCTAAGAAAACAGCAACATAAATTCATGATTATTTGCCATTTACTTGTAACAGAATGTTTATAGTGAGTAGCAAATCCTGCTCTATTAAATGAGACTACTTACATTAGTTTATATGATCTTTCCTGAAAAGCCCTTCAACAGAAAACTATATAAAATTACTTATTTTTCTGTATGAGAAAAAAAATTGCTTTTTTTTTTTTTTTTTTTGACAGGCAGAGTGGACAGTGAGAGAGAGAGACAGAGAGAAAGATCTTCTTTTCCCGTTGGTTCACTCCACAATGGCCTCTGCGGCCGGCGCACCCCACTGATCCGAAGCCAGGAGCCAGGTGCTTCTCCTGGTCTCCAATGCGGGTGCAGGGCCCAAGCACTTAGGCCATCCTCCGCTGCACTCCTGGGCCACAGCAGAGAGCTGGACAGGAAGAGGAGTGACCGGGACAGAATCCAGTGCCCTGACCGGGACTAGAACCCAGTGTGCCAGCGGCGCAGGCGGAAGATTAGCCTAGTGAGCCGCGGCGCCGGACACAATTGCTTTCATTTTTTTTTTTTTTTTTAGATTTATTTATTTATTTGAAAGTCAGAGTTAGAGGAGCGGTGAGAAAGACAGTCTTCCATCAGATGATTCACTCCTCAGTTGGCCACAATGGCCAGAGCTGTGCCAATCCGAAGCCAGGAGCCAGGAGTTTCTTCTGGGTCTCCCATGCAGGTGCAGGGGCCCAAGGCCTTGGGCCATCTCCTACTGCTTTCCCAGGCCATAGCAGAGAGCTGGATCAGAAGTGGAACAGCCAGGTCTTGAAGCAGCACTCATATGGGATGCCGGAGCTTCAGACCAAGCCGTTAACCCTATATAATTGAGTTACAGGAGTTCCTCATATATTTTGCATATTAGAAATTTTTCA